TATATATATAGATATATATTTAGTAGAAGGTCTACAGGTATAGAATAGACTCAGAGTGATCCTCCTGTGTTCAGCCTCCCAAGTGCTGGGATTGGAAGCACGCACTACCACACCCAGTCTCAATCAGTGTATCAGTGTACCCAGAGGTTGGGCTGGTACAGCATGCTGGGACTGAACACCAGTCCTTGCTTCTGCCTAAGAGGTTGCTTTAATCCACTGAGTTATCTGACTGGCCCTTTTAAATACTTTAAACATTAAAATAAAATTAGAAGGTTCATGTCTCTTTGTTAATAGGAACATGGTTAATTCCCTACTGTACCACAGTTGTACTTTACCTTTAAGTGTTTAATGTAACCGTCTCTATTCGCAACTCACCAAGTGAAATGCAGTTCTTTAAAAGCTCGCGAGATACCTGACTCCTTCTCCTCTAGTCTTCCTCCAAACCTGCTCATTTTCTTCCTCACCCTCCCTACCAATGCCCTGTGTGTAAATCGACATAATAACATTTTCCATGCCTTAGCCATAACACATAATGAATCTTTTCTCTCTGTAATTAGGACTTCTCTTACTATTCCTATTAATATTAGAGTTACTCTCAAGTAAAAAACCACCTACATTTCCAAATTTGTCATTGAAATGAGACCATATGGAAAGGAACGTGCCCAAAGAGTAGCTTAAGCTATAGATGGAGTTAGGGTCCCCTTAGGCACCAGAGGGTCTCAAGAATTCCCAGAGCTAGAGTGCACATTAATGAAAAGTTGGAAAAGCTCTTATTGTGACTTTACCTCTAGAAGCTTTATAGCCTTAGACACCTAAAAATTTCTAAGACTTATTTCTTCTATGAAATGGAATGTAATATATATTTTATATATAGTAATATATATTTTAGTAGTTTTCTATGAAAAAAATGGAATAATATATGAAATTATTTTAGAAATTGGTCAGATTATATCATATCATAGAAACTAATGTTCAAAAGTATATATAGATAACTAAATTTTAAAATGATGAAAGGATAATAGACAATGCAAGTGCTATTTCCTTAATTACCCTTCACATTATTTATTTTTCCATCTCATACAGAGATAATACCTCAGTGGTTCTGTATTTGTGCATACCTCATGCCTCACAGAATAGTAGGTCATCTTTATAGAAGGAATGAAGATATTTTCATTATTGATTCATGGTATTCAGTTATAATTTTTCACTTAAAGTGAAATTAATATAATTAGAATCTTTACGATTCATTTTGCATCAAGTTGTCAGATCTTTTTTACCCTAAAGTTAGAGGTAGATTTCATAATATTCTTTAAGCATTTTAGCATTAGATATACTATTCCCTTCCACTCTTGTACAGAATTTCTCTGATTTATAGACATGAATGTTGATTCAATTTTTTTTAACCTATATTAGAGATGTTGAACTTTTCTCTTAGGTATAAATGATCTGTTATACAGTGAACCTAGCAAATAGGTATTAAATAAATTAGAACAATATGTACTCAGGGTACTTTATAAAGTATAATTTTACAACTTTCATTATAGAGATCTATCAATAACTATCCTCCATTTGATAGCTGCAACTTAGCCCGTGCCTAAATTGATGGGACCTACAATTTCTGTTACACATTAACCTCACCTGAGACATGGAACACGTTCTACAAATGATTACTTGTAGCTTTGGAAAAAAGAATAGTTTAAAGAATGATGGACTGATACTTAATGGACCTGCAAAAAATAATAATTTATTGGTTTAAGCGGCAGTAAGTAATGTATTACAAATATCAGAACCACCTATAATAGACAAATATTTATACGTGCATTTGTTAAATTTAATAATTAAACATGCATTTTCTAATAAAC